AGGCTTCTGCCATTTGCTCGGTGCCCTTGAACTTTCCCTCACTCTGCCCAGACTAAATCAGACTTTGCTGAGAACAGTGCTTGGTCAGGTAGTATTCATTGCTCACTGTCAAAATCTTTGTTATAGTCTCTCCATTTGTTCTGTAAATGCAGCAACACAAAGGTTGCATTAAATATGTCTTGTGGGTATTCAGTGTTTGTCAGGTTATTATTTTTTTTTTCCAGGTGAAAGAGAAACCACGGGTGAGGGTAAGCAGAACTTAACTGAACTGACATTTTGGGCAGCGGGTATTCACAACGTGAGCTGAAGTTCAAGCTCTGGGGGCAGTTCATTGGGGCTGTTTTTTTTTTTGTTGTTGTTGTTGTTATTCCTTTGTACTTGTTCTGGTCTCATTTGTCTCTTTCTGAAATTGTTCCGCTGAGGAAGTTCATTCAGAGCCCACAACACTGTTGCATTTGCTTCTGTCAAAGGGGCCAATGGCAAATCATCTTTTGGGAAAGCAAAACTCCTGGAGAAGAAATTCTGAGGTTTGTGTGAGCATCTTCACAACTCAAGCTTTGTCACAGGAACTCCAGAATCACAGGCTCTCACAAGCACTGCATCTTTCTTGCCTTCTACTTTGGATTGAATTGTGTCCTCAAAAAATATATGTCATAAAATCTAATCCATGTACTGTGGTTATAATTCTATATGGGGATAGGTTTTCTCTGTTATGTTGATGTGGCCTATTAGTATGGGTGTGTCAAGGAGCCTCTAGTGGTGTAGTGATTAAGGCACTTGCCTGCCAACCAAAAGGTTGTCAGTTCAAAGTCACTGGCCTCTCCACAGAAGAAAGATAAGGTAGTATGGGTGTGTCTTGGGCCAACCTTTCTTGAGATAGACAAGGAGTAGATTAAGCATCAGAGATGGAGGAAGACAGATGCCAAGCCACATGAACATTGCCCAGGAGCAGAAGTTCAAAATGGAGACATGGACAAACCTACAGAGCTGTGAGAGACAGAATGCCTTCTTCTGGAGCCTGTGCCCTGAATTAAGACCTCTAACCTCCTAAATTGTAAGAAAATAAATTTTTGTTTGTTAAAGCTACTCATTTATGATATTTCTGTAATAGCAGGTATCTTGGGTTCTCTAGTGTAGCTATAACAGAAATACCACAAGTGAATGGCTTTAATAAACAGGAATTTATTCATTTATAGTTTAGGAGGCTATAAGTCTGAATTCAGAGAGCTGACTCTAGGGGCTGGGTGAAGTTCCCTTGACCTTGGGCTTCAGCTCTGCCTCTTGTTCCAGGACCCCTGGAGCTGGAGGCATCTCCTAACTCACACAGCTGCTGACTGCTGAGGCTGATGAACCCAAGGTCAGCAGTTAAAATGACACAATCCCAAGATTAGAAGGCAACATGACAGGTTGCTGGTTCAAGTCCACAAATTGGAGCTGAAGACTCAGTCACATGCAGAACCCCAATGTGCCAAAAAGCTCGGGACCTTTCCCAAACCTTCTCCCTAAATCCTGAAAACAAGTATGCTCCAAAGGTAACACCCCTTCAGCTAGCTGCTTACAGCAGATTCTACCATGGAGATGATTGCAGTCTCTTCATGGGGAATAACTACATCCAGCTGCCCAGCCACTCAAAACCACAGCCAAGCCAAGTTGACCCACAACCTTAACTACCACAGCAACACTGGATAACTTGTCTGAAGTACTTCAGCAGCCACTGAGGAAGGGCCAGCCCAGGTGGGAGCAAGCCCATGCCTAGAGTTACTTTAGGCCACAGAACAGTGGAGGTGACATAAAATTACTGGCCAGAGCAGGGGGTCCCACTGCACAGACTTGTGGCTGCCCTGGATTTTGTGCCAATTCCTTGGTGTGTCTGGAATGGGAAACATGTAGCAGTGACCTCTCACCCCTGAAAATCTGCCTGCAGTGGAAAGAATCTGCTGGGCTTGCTTTGTGGAGTCAACCAACCCAGTTTCCCGACTCCTTTTCTGTTGGGGAGTTGAGTGACGGTAAACCCAGAGCAGAAAGAAGACGATTTGGCTATGTGTCAGTTCCAAGGGCCCTAGTTGAAGAGTCATCTCTTTTTGCTCATTGGATTCACTAGCATAGGGCAGGGACTGGTAGAGTGGGCTTGGCAGGAACCTCTTTGCTTGAGGGAACATTAATGCCTCCTGGGAAAATTTTTGTCATAAGGACAGATATCCAGGTACAAAGATTTAGACCAAGAACAGTGTCCCAGTGTGAAGAAAGAGTGGTGTGAGTACAATGCATATTTGTTCTCAAATTCCTGTGCAGTCCCTCTATTAGCACTTCCTTCAGAATCTTAGAAGGAAAAAACCAGAAACCAAACCAATTGCTGTTGAGTCAACCCTAACTCACGATGACCCCATATAAGTTAGAGTAGAACTGTGCTCCATAGAGTTTTCAATGGATGGATTTTCAGAAGTAGGTTGCCAGGCCATTCTTCTGAGGTACTTCTGGGTAAATTCCAACTGCCAAGCTTTCAGTCAGCAGCTGAGTGTGTTAATGGTTTGGATCTCCCAAGGACTTCCCTAGAGGAAAAAGTACAAGAAGAACGATAAAAGCTGCTCTCACACAACATCTTTGTGAATACCTGCAGCACAAGTCTGAACTTTAAGCCATGCTTTGGGGAGAGTCAAAAAGACACGGATGGCACAAAGGCTTACTCTGGACAACTAGCTGGAAGTTTGGCTGCTTGAACCCACCCAGCTGCACCTCAGATGGCAGGCCTGTAGATCTGCATCTGAAAGGTGACAGCCTTGAAAACCCTATGAGACAGTTCTACTCTGTACACATGGGGTTGCTATGAGTTGGACTAGAGTTGAAGGCACTAACAACAACAGCAACGATAAAAGACAGAGGAGCTGTAGGGTTTCATAGTGAGCTCCCAAGGGTCAACCCAGGTAGCACTGGGCATGGTGGCAGCAGTGATGGCCACAGGGTGGTGCAGCACATGTGGGTCCAATGCTTCCAAGAGCAAAAGAAGGCAGAGCTGTGACAGGAGACAGTGCTTTTCATGGGCCCCAGAGAGAGCATAATACTGGCCATGCTTTAATTTGTTGTGGCTTTGTGGCTGAGACTTAAGCAAAGAGCTCTGTGAGGGGACCCCAAATGGTGGCTATCAGGAGGTCACATAGAATCTTGTGTTGGTAAACATGCCAGCTACCTCATCCAAGGCTTCCTAGAAATAGTCAGGAGAAATCATTACAAATGATTACAGGTAAGTCAAGGTCCTGTATCAGTGGGGTTTGGAGGTGGGAGAGAGCTAGAGAAATATGGTTTGTTATTGTACATATAATCCCATTGTTACCCTTTTACTCCCGAGAAGTGTGGCAAAAGTGTGGCCTGAGGAGCAGGGGAGAGAGGGATATGTGGGTTCCATCTGTAATTTTAAGTCTTCATTTTATTTAGAGGATACACAGCTTGTTCCACAGAAGACGAGACATAGAAATGGTACCAGGATGTTTCACTTAATTGACTGAGAAGCAGAATTTGGAGCAATCCTGATTTGGTACCCTGGTGACTTGGGCTAACATCAAGGAATCCCCAAGGGACTTCAGAAGGTCAGCTCATAGTTTTCCTTTAATTCCCCCCAAGGACCAAGAGGGTGGACTTAGCCTTAGAAATGTCTACAGTTTATTAGCAAAGTTTCTGGGGAGAAGGTTTGAGCTGAAGTATTAACAAGAGAGTGACTACAGCTAAATGAACATAACATTTCAGGACATTTTTCTACTTGCAAATATCAATAGCAGGGTAATTCCACAATTGACAAGAAAGCAAAGTAAATAGGAGGGAATGATACTTAATTTAGATATAGGCTCTTTGGAAAAACTATTTGCAGAAACATTGACTACACTGGCTTGTCCATGTGAAATCTGTTATCCTCTAGTTAGACTAATTTGTACACAGAAATATAAATCTATAATTGCTGAAGTCATAAAGTTTAGTTTTCCCATTTAGTTCTCAGAGAATCAGTGTGGGCCCATTCAAAGGACAGGTACATTGTAATCACAACCCCCTTTGCTCTGCTTTTTACTAGCTCAGTGAACTTAAAGAGACCATTGTGCACTCCCTCTGAACTTCACTTCTCTTACTGGTAAAATAAGATAGAATATCTTAGATATTTTTCTTATCTTATCTAGATAAGAATGTCTGGCTGGGTTCCTATTATTTTGTGCAAGGAATAAACATCTCTAGATTTCAGCATGGGTCATTAGTAATAATATTATTAATAATGCTTATTGTGATTTGATTTCAGCAAATTCTGTATAAACAAAACTAGCTCTAATAAACACAGCACAGATTGAGCCGACCACGGAAATGATAATGACAGACATGGTCATTTAGAGCCTCAGGTTAGGTCAGCATTGCTGGCACTTCCTTTTCTTTTGGCTCCAACTCTTGAGGATGCTGAAGACACAGCTCTGCAACGCAAAATCTGAATTACGGCAATTACAGCTTTAAATCACATGAACCTTGGTCTATCTATCGAGGTGAGATGGTTTGATACCTTAGAGAAATAAAACTCTAATACATGGATTAAACATAAAGCCATAGAGGGCTGTGATAATGTTACATCAAGCATGCCAGAAACACCAGAACCAGGGGAGGAAATGAAGGTTAAGTGCTGTGTCATTCAACTGAGTTTCCACCCTTGATCATCCTGTAAGTCATCCTCAGTACTCTGTGGCTCAAACCCTGCAAAACCGGGATCCACCCGGGCAGAATATGCAGCACATCATGCAGACAGCGACAGAACGCTCCGGGAAGGCTATGGGGGTGGGGGAGGTCACACATAAACCAAGGGGAGTGGTCCAACTTCCAGGCAAAGGGAGCAGTCTGTGTGAATGAACCAATGATAAATGCACATACTTTGCCTAGAAATAATTCTGTCTCCTAAATCTGGCTAGAGCTTATGACAATTAATGGTTATTCTTGATCCTTCTCCAACCAGTAAGTATCTCCCATCAGTGACTATCGTAATGGCTAAGGGTATGGGTGGTGTGATTGGCCAGACCCAGGTTTTAATCTTGGCTGTGTTGGTTACATGTTACCTGGGTGTTCTTGTTGTTGTTGTGTGCTGTGGAGTCAGACCTGATTCATAGCGACCCCTCCTTGGGTTTCCGAGGCAGTATCACTACGGAAGTACATTGCCCAACCTTCCTTCCGAGGAGTGGCTGGTGGGTTTGAACCGCCGGCCTTCTGGTTAGCAGTCAAGTGCCTTAGCCACTACGCTACCAGAGCTCCTCCCCAGGTGTTTTAGAACTACCGTATTTTACTCAAATAAATGTGAGCCTTCGATGTTTGTTCGCCAACCGCTGCCTCTCCCCCACCCTATTTTCCTAAGTATACTATGCTATTTTTTTACAGCAACATGTAAAAAATAAATTAGCATAGCCCTTGTGAAAATACCTCACAAAGTGAGCAATATTTGCATAAAAATATTGTAGTTATTTCACTCACCTTTTCTGATACCCAAGATACCTCAAGTACCTCAGTTTAAAAATGTAAGGTGAATATCCACCATGCAGGGTGGTTGTATGAAAAAAGTAAAATTTCATAAAGCACTTAGCACAATACTTGCCATGTGAAAAAACAAAACACCACCAAAAAGCACTGCCATCCAGTCAACTCCAACTTATGTAATAATCCCATAGGACAGACTACAACTGCCCCATCATGTTTCCAAGGCTATAAATCTTTACAGAAGCAGACTGTCACATCTTTCTCCTACAGAGTGGCTGGTGGTTTCAAACTGCCAAGCTTTTGGTTAGCATCTGAGTACTTTGACCACTGTGCTACCAGAGCTCCTACTTGGAGTATAGTAAACTTGTTGTTGTTGTTGTTATGTTCCATCGAGTAGGACCCAACTCATAGCTACTCCTCCTTGGGTTTCCGAGGCAGTATCACTATGGAAGTAGATTGCCCTATCTTCCTTCCAAGGAGTGGCTGGTGGGTTTGAACCACCAGCCTTCTGTTTAGCTGTCAGGTGCCTTAG